GATAAGGGTGATGATAAGGGTGATGATAAGGTTGATGATAAGGGTTATGATAAGTGATGATACGCATGATGATAAGTGATGATAAGGTTGATGATAAGGGTAATGATAAGGTTGATGATAAGGATGATATAAATGTTTGTATGTTTGCTTCTATGTTCACAACGCCGCCCCACCCCTCACACTCAGAGGCGTAGCGAGGGGGGGCGGGGGTGCGGATCGCACCGGGTGACACCACTTAGGGGGTGACACCAAGGCAAAAAATAGCAAAATATATAGAGAAAAACTTGAGTGGGGGGTGCAAATCGAAAACTTGAGGGGGGGGGTGCAAATCGAAAATTTGTCCCCGGGAAGGGTCACTACGCCTCTGGGGGGTGACACCATTAAGTGCCGCACCGGGTGACACCCGACCTCGCTACGCCACTGCTCACACTATGTCCCCACCCTCCCCTAGTACGCCGTGCCTCCACTTGGTAGTGCACCTGTACTGTAAGGCTTAGAGTCAAATTATCATTTCCGGCGATACTAAATATTCGAATACATGGGCAAGAAGTACTAAATTAAGTGATATTCGATTTTGTTATTTATAGATAAGGCAACTAGACAAGTATTACCTCACCGATACTTGGTATTCGAATATGGCTGTACGTCCGTTGTGTTAGTACGTACCACTGACTTACGTCACCAACAGGTGAAGACGTAATTTAAGCGAAATCTGCCAGGTCATGTTGACCCAGGGATGTTTTTCTTGGTAGGGGAATGAGTAAAACAGCTGCTAGCTTCTAGTGGTTTCCAAATAGATAATTAAAGAAAAATTATACTAATGCTGCGAATGTTTTTTGGGGTGGGGAGTGGAGTGGAGGGGTACAGATGTGGGGGTGGAGGTGTGAGGGTGGTGTGAGGGTGATTGTGGAGATGTGAGGATGTAGGTGGTGTGGGGTGCAGGTGTGTGGGTACAGATTTGGGTGGATGTATGGGGTGAGATGTGGGGGTGGAGGTGTGGGGTGTAGGTGTGGGGTGGAGATGTGAGTGTGAAGGAGGAAGTGGATGTGTGGTGGTGGAGGTGTGGTGGTGGAGGTGGAGGTGTGAGGGTGGAGGTGGATGTGTGGTGGTGGAGGTGTTGGGTGGAGGTGGAGGTGTGAGGGTGGAGGTGGAGGTGGAGGTGTGTGGTGTGAGGGTGGAGGCGGAGGTATGATGAGTGAGGGTGGTGTGAGGGTGGAGGTGTGAGTGTAAGTGTGAAGGAGGAAGTGAAGGTTGTGGTGGTGGAGATAAGGGGAGATGCGGAGTTGAGTTGTGGGGGGTGTAGTTGCGGGGCTTGAGGTGTGGGGTTGAGAGTGTGGGAGTGGGAGTGGATATCGCCGCATCAACTTTAGTCTTTACCTTGATTTCACCCCTCAGCATCACGTGATGACCTTCAACACGCACGCGCATCGGAGTGAGAATTTTTTCTGGCAAAAACTGGCATCTTATGTAATCTAAACTGCCATTTTGTGATCCAGCCAAGCTGGTAGTTTTTGTATCGCAAAAAAAATGTCATTTTGTTATCCAGTGAAATCGATTTTTTGTATATTGATAAATGAATGAGGCGAGAAAGAGAGAGACAAAGAATACGAGAGAAATGAGAAATTAAGACAGAGAGGGAAAGAGAGGAGGGACTGGGGTGGTTACCTAACAGACAATCTCGAAATATGTTGCAAGTTTCCTTTCGTTTAGGGATCGCAGCTATGAAAGGTACTGACTTTGGCTGAGCAAGTGCTCAATTGACTTAATTTTTAGTGTTCGAGTTGATCGAGCATTATCTATCAGAGGGTTTGAACTCGAGACTTTTTCGAATTTATCAACCATGAACTTTTTGTCGGCTCGACCAACACAATTAAGGAATACGTGTCTACTGGTTATGCGCCATTAAGGCCATTGACTCCAATTTCAGCCTGCTTTTCTTTTTGGATTTGCTTCAATGGCCTTTGTCCAACCAAGAACAAACTACAAGACAGCAGTTGTTTGATTTTGGAGTTGTCTCTCCTAGAAGAGTGACTGTCCCCAGCTAAGGAGCCTCATCTGCCCGAGGGTTCGAACTCGGGGCTTTTCGGTTTAGCAACCATGAGCTTTACTGACTTGACCACGCTGACCCCAATCTATGATGAGAACTGAGTTTGAATGAGCATTGAACTGAGTAAAAAAAATCCCTGATTATAACAACGTCATTGAAGCAGATAAGCTCTACTTCACCTGCCCTCCACAGACACACGGGTTTATAAGGGAATAGTTCCGTGCTTTTAGAAAAAAATTACAAATCCAGCAGCATGTTTTGTCGCCACTTTTTGAATGCATTACATTCATAGCCCTAACCCTATACTTAACTTAAATACAAACAATGATATTAGTACTAACTAACAAAACCCTGTCCTCTAACTTTACGGCGATATCGACATAACCAGTGTTTTTTTCCAGACTTTTTTTCTCGGGGGGGGGGGGGGGGCACTTGAAACTTTGGGAGTGGGGATGGACTCAGTTTTCCGGGGAATGGGTGGGGGTAGGACGCGGGTTAAAAAAATGTTTTATATAAGTTATATTTTGTTTCGGGGTGCGGGGTGGCGTGGGTATGAGGGGGGGGGGGGGTAGACATTGGATGTAGCCAACGCCTTAATGACCAATTTTAAAACCTAACACTAAACCCGCCATCTTGGAGTTCCCCTAGCTCAAGCTTTTAACTAAGCTGATTGGATGAAATAAAACGCTAATTAACTCCCATTTTCTAGCCTTCCTCGTCTAATTACATAATTACATTTCCTACAAATTGAAAAGAAAATAATAAATTTCAAATAAATTACAAAGCGACATATTAAAAAAAAAATATTCGAACTCATAACGTCAAAAAGTTAGATTTAGACATCTAACAGCGCCATCTGTCATCAGTGACGCGCCATTTTTTTCTTGCCTGACGTATGATCTCTGACGTGTCTCAGCTATTTTTAGATTGATCAAGTTTCACGTTGCGCGCAGGCGTAAAATATCTTTAAATAGCGTTTTAATTCTATCGCTCAATTTTCGAAATCAAACTAAATCTTAGCTGGGCAATTGTGTGACTTACAAGATTGATTTTTTTAAATGTATTCGTTTAAAAAAAATGTGAAGCTGTCAAACAAATTTTTTCATTGTGTTGGATGTGAATGTTAGAAAAAAAGTTGAAATGTAAAATCAATCAAGTATTAAATAAGATGTCGTTTATTTAAATAAAAACAAGTAGCCCAATGCAGACTTTCTATTTTGATATGATAATTAAAGTAATCAAACAGCGAATTCGATAGCTCTAGACTTGTAGTATGACCATCATAAAAATTGTTTAAATTCTTGCTTTAGTGTTGCCAGATTTTTATTCAAATTTATTAAATATTGCCAGGTTTATTTGAAAAAAAACTATACTTGATAAAACAGATTACTTTACATAACATAAAACAGTGTTGAGTGAATAACCTTAGTTATAAAACAACGTAGTTATAGTTGTGTGAATAGCCTCAGTTTTAAAACAAGGTTGCTGCGATTGTGTGAATAGCCGCAGTTTTAAAACAAGGTTGCTCTGATTGTGAGAATAGCCTCAAATTTAAAACAATGTTGTTAAAACTGTGTGAATAGCGATAGTGTTAAAACAAGGTTGCTATTGTTGTGTGAACAGCGCAGAGGCGTAGCGACCCTTCCCGGCGCCCGGGGACAAACTTTTCGATTTGCACCCCCCCCCCCCTCAAACTTTCAATTTGCACCCCCCTCAACCTTTCAATTTATTTTTCCAACCCATTTTGGCGCCCCCTAAGGTCGGCGCCCGGGGACATATGCCCCCCCCCCCCCCCCCCCCTCGCTACGCTACTGGAACAGCGTCCATTGGATTGGATCGTGCTGCTCCGGCTCTGTAATACCAACTGCGGGCAAAAGCTAACGAAACGCGGACTCACTAGAAGATAATGTTGTAGTCCTTTACACGTTGACCCGTCATTGCAGATCTACATTTTTTTTTCTAAACATTGTAAAATATTTAATTAGCTGCTAATTAATGATCTGTTTACCAACTACACCTGAAGAAAAGTTCCAATTATGTTTGTTTTAAATTTAACATCTTGCTGTATTTACCCGTTAAATTTTACATCACACAGCAGATGGGCTCTTGACATTTTTAATAACGTTCCATTTTCTACACGAGTCGTTAATTATTTCTACAATCAACGAAGGCGGAGTTATTTTAAGTATTGTTTGATGAGTTATCTCCTCTGTCCGTAAGCCTGCTATATTGGCTGAAGGTTTTTGAGTCCACAAAAGACATAATTGTTCTTTTTTCCCATAGACAAGAGTTGTTTTTTTTTTCATCAGTTATTTGTTAATTTTCAACGTTTTTTTTTCCATTCCGTTTTCTTTTCAAAGAACAATTTCATTTCATTGACCAATTACGACTTGCGTCGATAGCCAATGGCATTTCATTGGCCAATTTTTTTTCTATTTATTAGACCAATTTTGATCCATTTAATGTAATCCATTCCATTTTCTACACAAATTTTACTATATTTCATAGTTTGTTTTGTTTCATAGAACAGTTTAGTTTACTTTAACAGATGTTCAATTTCGTACACTAATTTTGTTTTATTTTATTTATCAATTTATTCCTGGTAATGGGCCAATTTTGTGCCATTTTTTAAAATCAATTTCGTTCAATTTCATAAACCGAATTCATTACATGGACGAATTTCTTTCCATTTCATAGATCAATTTCTTTTCATTTCTTAAACGGAATTGGTTTCATTTCATAGAACAATTTCTTCCAATTTCATTAACAAAAATTATTGTTTAAAATTTCATGAACGAATTTCTTCCCATTTCATTGAGTAATTTCTTTTCATGAACGCAATTTTTTCTATTTCATAGACCAAATTTTTTCCCATTTCATTAACGTAATGTTTTCCGATTTCATGGACTAATTTCTTCCCATTTCACTAACAAATTTTTTTTCCATCCAACAGAGCAGTTCCTCCTGCCCGAGAAATGCGGCATCCAGCGCGTGCGGTCCTTCAAGACGACATCAAAGGGACTCGTCAATCATGGGGACTCATACAAGAAATCTACCAACAGGTGAGCTCGCCAGGTGAACCCTCGCCAAGGTCGCCAGGTGAACCCTCGCCAAGGTCGCCAGGTGAACCCTCGCCAAGGTCAAGGTCGATAGCTTGCCTGTGGTGAACTCGTATCTGCATGCGGCAGACGAATTTTTTGTTTCAGTTCGCGAGTTCTTTGTTAAAGGAAGAGTTCCATTCAAAAGTAGATTACTTCTTTATGAAGTCGGTTAATTTTAATTTATTTAGCGGGTTTTGTTCTTCTACTTACGAAAATTGAATGGAAATTTTTTTTTAAGTTACTTAATTTTTTTTCACATAACATTTATTATCTAACTTTGAAATTGTGCACATAACGTGTATAATCTAACTTTCAAATTTTGCACATAATGTGTATAATCTAACTTTCAAATTTTGCACATAATGTGTATAATCTAACTTTTAAATTTTGCACATAATGTGTATAATCTAACTATGAAATTTTGCACATAACGTGTATAATCTAACTTTCAAATTTTGCACATAATGTATATAATCTAACTTTCAAAATTTGCACATAACGTGTATAATCTATCTTTTAAATTAAAGGGTTTTACTTTTTAAAAAAACAAGCTCCATTTAGATTGTTTTAATGTGAAATATTTTACCACTTTTCTAATTCACACATACACATCACGTGATAAACGTCACGTTTCTTCCACCAACGTGGCGTGTGATCTCTACAGTCATGTGTCACGTCGGTGGCAGGTTTATTCCCATCTTAAAACTTTGTGTAAAGATGATTTTTTTTTTAGCCGCGGTTACGTAAAAGTGGGATTTATGTGGGTTTCTTGACGTTTTCATGTGGTTGAATTTTTTTTTTTTTTGTTCCGGATTAATGGTCTGATAAAAAAAAATGGAGGTTATACAAACAGTTAAGTTCATCCGTAATAAAAATAATTCAAAGGCTTTTTTTAAAGTAAAGGTTAAATAAAATAGAAAACGAAAAATAATGTCTACGATTCCTTAAAAACATGTTTTTATAACTTGGGTAGTATTGGTCATTACAACAAAAAAAAAAGTTGTCTACAGTTCTTGTCATATGTATTTTGGTCTTCCTTTCCAATAAAAGTGTATAGCAACCATAAAAAAACAGAGATAATTAACTTAAGAACAGAAATCTGTTGAAATTTTGTTAAATATTTAAACTTGTGCACCAATTGTTAGCGATATTAAGGTAGTCAACACCATTAAAATTAGTTAACAACAAAACGACAACACTGACAATGGTGCATCTTAAATCTCGTGTCAGCTTATAAACAATTACAGGAGCTTTCTCGTGAAGTTGTAAAAAAAACATGATTTATCGCTTTAAATTTTTTTTTAAATTTTTGTTTGTTGATGTTTTTGTGGAGGGTATGGTGGAGTGGGGGTGCTGTCAATGTTAGATGGTGAATAAATTCTGGTGATCCGTTTTATTATACCCGCACAACAACGATTTTCTGTTAAGCTTAAAGCAAACAGCTATACCTGTTAAAGATTGATCAATCGCCATAGACCTCCCCTACACACATATACCCCACACTCAACACACACAATGTGGATGATGCCGATGTCTGACAAATGTCCTCCCCCCCCCCCCAGTCTCATGTCCTCAGGCAGTGCGGCGTCCATCACAGAGGCCAACACCAAGCTTCCCAGGCGCCCCAGCTGGGTGTCAGACGACAGCGCCCCCGAGAGCGAGGAGTCGCACCCCCAGGCCCCCTCCGTCGTCTGCCCCAGCAACATTCACCTGTACAGGTAAGTGACGTCACGCACGTGTGTACAGACCCTTGAGGACACGCGTAAATGACGTCATATTTTTAATACCGGTTACTGACTTCGGAGTTAGAACGACAGATAGGGGACGTTACTCTTGAATAAATAATCACGCGAAATGACGACACTTTCATCTATACAGTTAGATTGTGTCACGATTAATAACATCAATAGGGTGTCTACTATATTTTAATGTTTAACTTGCAATATATACATACCAATAAATATGTATAAGTATGTGTATACATAAATTTATATAAGTATATATATATATTTATATATATATATATATATATATATATATATATATATATATATATATATATATATATATATATATATATATATATATATATATAAAATTATGTATATATGTGTATATTTATGTATATATCTCTGTGTATATATATATATATATATATATATATATATATATATATATATATATATATGTGTGTGTGTGTGTGTGTGTGTGTGTATCTGTGTGTATATATATATCATAAATAAATACGAGGGACATTTCAATTGTTTTAAAAAGCTAGCTCGTTACCATGGCAACCCCTAAGAATCCATAGCTACCATCACGTTTGACCCACGTTTGAAATACCAAAGATCTCAGAGTTCAACCAGTAAATCACACAGAACCCAGCATGCACCAGTCTCTCCCCCCCCCCCCCCCCCCCACAGTCTCTGTCACATGACTCATACTGCTACTTGGTCCTTTAGCAACTAACGTATCAGATAGTTCAACAGTTTTACAGGATTTTGAACATTTATGTTATTATGTGTTGTAGTTATGAATAGTGACGGGGTGTGGATCAGGGTTGGTTGGTTATACTAGGCGCTGGGGGAGGGGGATTTATCGGTCAAGCCAAACGGTGGTCAGGCAGAGAGGTTGGAAGCAGACGGTGTAACTGAAATAACAATATTGGACATTTAGTGGTATTTCAACACTAATAGGCTACTGTCTTCTGATATTGTTAGACCTTGAACAAAACACGGCGAAATGGTGTTGATGTGCATTTGTGTTAACTCACGGTACTCATGATGGGGTGTTCATGTGTTGTTTTTTTTGTCTGACCCCAGGGGTGTTGATGTGTTTTTGTCTGTCCTTATGGTACTCATGTGTTTTGTCTGTCCCCAGGGTACTCATAATGGGGGTGTTGATGTGTTTTTGTCTGTCCCCATGGTACTCATGATAGGTGTGTTGATGTGTTTTTGTCTGTCCCCAGGGGTGTTGATGTGTTTTTGTCTGTCCCCAGGGGTGTTGATGTCTTTTTGTCTGTCCCCAGGGTACTCATGATGGGAGCACCAGGTGTGGGTAAGACAGCACTCACCAGGCAGTTCATGACCTCGGAGTACAAGGGCACGTACACAGAATCAAATACTCGTGAGTACATTGTAGTAGTAGATTGGGGGAGGGGGGTGAGTAGGTGGAAGAGTGGTTTTGGGTGAGGATTGTGTGTGTGTGTAGATGTGAGTATAGGTTTGTGTGAGTGTGGGTGGAGGTGTGGGTGTATGAGTAGGTGTGGGTATAGGAGGTTTGTGTGAGTAGGTGTGTATGGAGAAGTATGTATAAGTAGGTGTGGGTGTGTGTGTGTGTGTGTCAGTGGGGTAGTCAACCCGTACACGCCATATAAACCAATACCCAAGCCAGTCAGTCGGAGTTTGCCGTGTTGAGGCCTGCCTGGCTAAGGGGAGACACCTCCTGAGCCGGTGATGATAAAGTAAGGTAGGCACTGGGGTGGGAGGTAGCATTGGTGGGGGCCCCGGAGTGTGTGAATGGGTGTTTGTGGGGGAGGTGTGTGAGCTTTGGGGCGGGGTGTAAGAGCTAATGTGGGGAGGTGGTGTGTGAGTAGATTTCTGGGGTGTAATTATTGGTAATGATGGGGTGGGATGGGGTGTGAGTAATTATTAGTACTGGACAAAAGGCGAGTAATTTTATGTGAGGAAGGTGTTCTTAGTAATTGGTTTGATGGGGAGGAGGGGGCGGGCGGTGGGGAGGGGGGAGCGGATGGGGTTTTGAGTATAGATGGAAAAGGTGATAAGGGTGTAGATGTTTTAAGGGCGAAGCTTGTGAGTAAGTGTCTAATTATTGTGATGACTCATTACTAAGATGTCTCTACTTCGGAAGAAACAAAAACTACGTACGTCTGCGTTTAAAATTAATATTAGCTAGCACTTCAGATCAAATTAGAATTAGTATGATTATGAAGCTTTTTTTTTTCAAAAAATTTTATAGCGTACCGTGATATGACTTCTCTTTATAAAAAAAAATTACACAACGTAAAACGGAATATTTTTTTTTCTTAATTTATTTTAACAAGAATTTGTGTTTTATCTTGATAAAAAATCACTTTTTTTTTTCGTTTTATAAAGGGCAGACAACGTTGAAACTATTATCCCTGGTTAATTATCTCCCTTCATAGAATTTTTCTTGTCTTTGTGTCGAGACTGCGTCAGACGCCATCTAGATAAATGTCGTCTGCAGAAATAACGTCACGTCTAGGTGGTTTCCGTCAAACAATCAAAACGAACGGAAATAGAAACAAGGACGATAATTCATGGTGGACGCGTATTCTTCGCTCAATGATATAGAAAAAAATATTTTTGAGAAAACAGTGAGAAATCTTGTTTTTTAGAGGACAATATAATGATAGGCATGGTGGCGTCAGTGATTTTTTTTTAGTTCTAAAAATGTCCAACCGTCTTAATTCTAAAGAAGTTGGCTGTAAGTGCGTAAAGACAGCTTTGATCTTACGCGGTTGAAATTACACTGTTTGATGCGAGTTTAGCTCGGCTGACGTCACTTTTGGCGTAAACGTTCGTGACGTCACGCGGCGCATGCGTCCATCAGAAAGATAAATTGTGTACAGAAAGGCTTTTGTTATGGAATCTGTTGGCGTGAGCAGACTTCAAGGTCAGGCTTGTTAAATGCTTTTTCCCCTGTGGGTAGCGCTTAGGGAGGGGGTGAGGGGTGGATGATTTACATCTGTATTTGTCCGTAAAAAAAACATTCTAGAATTTTATAATGTTTTTTTTTAAAGTCGTCGGTTTCTTACAGGGCTAGGTTTATATTCAGCCAGGAGTGGACTTACCCTCCGGTCTACCGGGGAAAATCCAAGTGGGCTTTAGAGAAAAATTCCGGAGAGAAAAATCCCGGTTGGCTTTAGAGAAAAATTCCGGAGAGAAAAATTCCGGTTGGCTTTAGAGAAAAATTCCGGAGAGAAAAATTCCGGTTGGCTTTAGAGAAAAATTCCGGTTGGCTTTAGAGAAAAATTCCGGTTGGCTTTAGAGAAAAATTCCGGTTGGCTTTAGAGAAAAATTCCGGTTGGCTTTAGAGAAAAATTCCGGTTGGCTTAAGAGAAAAATTCGGTTGGCTTTAGAGAAAAATTCCGGTGGGCTTTAGAGAAAAATCCCAGGAACGGTGCTGTCATAGTACTACTTGTGATTTGATTTTTTTAAATTATTGTTATTTTACCATTCCTTTATACCAGGGGTCTCCAAACTTTTCAGTCCGAGGGCCGCATTAACTATCAATTTTCAGTCCGGGGGCCAGTTTCTTCCACGCATGTCTTTGATTTTTCTGGGCAAAGTTCCTCAGCAATTACCAACACATTTTTTTCCGTGGACAAAAAGATCTCCGCGGGCCGGATGAGAGGACCTCGCGGGCCGCATTCGGCCCGCGGGCCGTAGTTTGGAGACCCCTGCTTTATACCAAGCGGTAAAATTCAGAAAAAAAATGCACAATGTATATAGAATCGATATATTTTCTACATAAGTTCCGTTTCGTTCTAGGGGGGGGGGGGGTAGGCTTTCTTTGGAGGGGGAGGAGGTTGCGGAGAAATGCCTGGAAGTACCTCTGGACTAGTCTTAGGACCAGTTTTATGGTTTGGGTTTAAATTAAAGTCTTAAGGATTATAATATCGTTATTGGAGATACTAGTATCGAATGTTAGAATAAGGCTAATGCACCAATAATTAAACTGATCTCTTTTTACCCAACGTCTTCTCCCGATACACTAATTAAACATCAGGTCATGACCTCTAATTAAGCCTAGCACTGGACAGCCAGACAGACTAATTAAAATCCCGGGGTAAAGTTTAATTGCAACATCATCATGTCTCGATTTTTTACCCAGGGAAACAGATTACAATCAACAGCATCGGATTAATTGCCGGACTTTTTTTTGTACGTGTACGTTGACTGTTAATTATGCATAGGTGGGCCGGTGTTTGCGTGATACTTGCGAAATACGGAGATAGGAATAATAAAAACGCATATGTTTAAATCCTGGATGTGATCGATTTTAGAGTAGAGACAGCTGCGTGAGGGTGGATGGTTGGTTGGTGTGGAATAAGGTATGGGAGGGATGGTATGGGAGTTGAGTGATGGTATGGGATGATGAGCGTTGGTGTGGGGGTGGTGAGGGTTGCGGTGAGATGGTGATGGATTCGAGGGATGGTGTGGGGTGGTGTGGGATGTGAGGGATGAGTGGGATGGTGTTTGATGGTGTGGGATGGGAGGGGTGGTATTGGATGCTGTGGGATGGTGTGTGAATGTATGGGATGTTGTGGGATGTGTGGGATGGTGTGGGATGTGTGGGATGGTGTTTGTGGGATGTGAGGGATGTGTGGGATGTGAGGGATGTGTGGTATGCTGTGGGATGTACCTTTATCTATGTACACCATGATGAAACAAATATACGTTGTTTTCTTTTCCTTTCTAAATCGTATATTGTTTTTTTTCTGTGTATACATATACAAGCATATTATTAAAATCTAAAAAAGTTTCTGCAAACGATCTAATAAGAACGTTATATTAATCGTTCTTCCTTTACAATTCCATATAATGTATATACTTGTATACAGCAGATATCATAAACTAGTTGAAGTCTTGTCAATATATGCACATATATAGGCCTAAAAATGTATAAGCATACACAAAACCTCACATACACATACATATGTATATATATATATATATATATATATATATATATATATATATATATATATATATATATATATATATATATATATATATATATATATATATATATATATATATATTCGTGTTAATTTTGTATCTATAAAATTATCACCCCTTTTAATAACTGGAAATTTACTACACATGTATCTCCCTTTCTGACATATCCTTAAAATTATCGTACATCCGCCGTTTTGAAAACCAGTCAGCGTGTACTATAAAAATAAAAATTATCTCCCTGTAAGACAACTCAACATGAAATTATCTCCCCTCCCTACGATTTTTCCCAGAGGTCGGAAAACACTCCGTCCCATCTAGACTATGGCATATAATTTTTTATCTCAAATATTTACTGAAGAAAGGGGGGTAATCCCACAGCGTTAGAGGTAATTGTTTTCTCTTGTTGGGACTTAACATTCAACAAACGAAGACTCGGGACGTATTTATTTTACAGGGGAGGTAAATATTGTGTTTTATTACTGTTTTGTATGTAAATAATTCTCGGATCTTTTTGGTTTATCTTCAAAAGTCTGCTTGAATGATGGGTTTAGTTTTGGGGATTGGTTGAATGTTACGATACGATGTGTATTAGGTTTAAAAAGTAAGATTAGGAATTTAGTAACAGCAATGGCATTTTTAATATGCAACTGCCATTATGTGAAAACTACTTACCTCGTGTTTGTAAATTCTACATAACCTATTACTCCACTAACCATTTCAATCCACTCCCCACCACACTCCACTCCCCCACCTCATTCCATTCTCATATCACAACACTCCCCACCTCAATCCATTCCCTCCTCACTCCATTCCCCTCGTCACTTCACTCCTCTCACATGCACACTCCACCCCACTCCCCTCCTCACCCCACTCTTCATCTCGCTCCACTACTGACTTTACTCATCAAAACACCCCATTCCCAGCCCCCAACCCCTCTTCATTTCCCACACCGCTTCCCATTTCAATCCTAATCCCTATATACACCCACTATCCTACTCACCACACAACCACACATCAATCCCACCCTATCCCCGTCCCAACCCACCACCCCACACTTTATCAAAACCCACACTACCCCTAACCCACTTCCCACCTATCTCCCCATTCCCCGTACCCCAGCTCTACCAATCCAGGTATCTCCCCCAAACCTCACCACCCCCCCCCTCTAACATCCAGCCTTTCTGGCATACCTCCACCATCTACCCCCGACACTCTCCTGGCCACTTTATTAGCCCCAGGTCTCCCACCCCAGGGTCAAGGTTGTCCTGACGAACTGGCAGCCTGCACGGAAACGAACAAGGAAATGTAATAAATGTGCCAGCTACATCTAGGCTGTCCATCTTACGTCACACCATAGGTGGACATAGGTCATCTAGCTATCCGTGGGACTGGTCACCTAACCCCACCCGAGGGATCAAAGTTATTACTAGAGGGCTAAGTACACCAAGATATCGTTACAAGATGTAATGCCCCCATTTATTCATTGTATTTCAGCTAATGACCGAGTTATTCGCAATCAGGATTTGTGCCAACGTTAACTAAGTTACGCGACTTTAGGGAGTTCTGTTCAACCAAGATGGTGGTAAGCGTAGTGATGGTGGAAGGTTTTACACCTTACGTCATTCCCTAGGGGTCGAATCCTGGGGGGAGGGGGAGGGGCTGATTTACGTCTGAGGCGGGGATCTCCTTCCAGCTCTGTGATTTACAACGCCAGACCCCGAGATTAGGCCTGTCTGAGGATTTACACCATCCTATCCGTGATTTACACCATTCTATCTAAGATTTACATCATTCTATCTGTGATTTACATCATTCTACCCGTGATTTACATCATCCTGCCCATTATTTACACCATCCTACCCGTGATTTACACCATCCTGTTCGTGATTTACACCACCCTGTTTTTATTTACACCATCCTGTCCATGATTTACACCGTCCTACACGTGATTTACACCATCCTGTCCATGATTTACACCATCCTACCCGTGATTTACACCGTCCTACACGGAGATTTACATCATCCTGCCATATCAATTAAATCATCTTTCCTAGTGATTCTAGTGCTGGCTCTAGGATAATTCGGGCGGGGGGGGGGGGGGGGGGGAAGATGATCTATGTGTTATTTTGGGTTTACAAGTTGTTGACGTTAAGGGGTTCAGGGTTTCAAGTTGGATTCAAAGATTGTAGGTGTCGCTGTTACATTAAGGTTTAGAGTTCTGATTTTACAGTTGGTTTAGGATGAGCTATTACTCTGAGATTTAGAATTAACTCTTTCAGCGGGGTTTAGGATTAGCTCTTACGGTGGATTTATCCTACTGTGGGGTTTGGGGTTCAACTTTTACTTTGGGGTTAGTTTTGTCCATGTCGGCCTGCCTTTTTTCCGTGTCGGCCTTTTGTCTTGTCGGCCTTTCGTCCTACACCCTGTTGTTATAATGGATTATGGTTTACTGTAGAGTTTTCAGTGTGTTTCGACTGCCCGTGATCTCGGTTAGAGGATGCCCACTCCACCCTGGGTCAAGTGGCACTGTCTTAATGTGCTCACGTGACTAATCTCCTTGTCAAGTGACTTGGAAAATTAACATTCTTCCACCTCCAGCTTCCCGCAGTGAAAAAAAAAACAGTCCTGTCGAAAATTCTAAAAGGGCAACAAATTGTATTAGCACCGTACGACTTAACTAGCTCGCGTGTAGAATGTTGTGTTGAAGCTACGTTAGGGGTGTTAAGAGTTGAATTCAGCGGCCGCCTATTCATTGGGTGAGAGCGTTGAATTCAGCGGCCGCCTATTCACGGGTGTAAGCGTTGAATTCAGCGGCCGCCTATTCATTGGTGTTAAGAGTTGAATTCACCGGCTGCCTATTCATGGGGGTGTTAAGAGTTTGAATCAGCGGCCGCAGATTACTTTTAAAGCATGCTTGAAATTAACACGTCTACACTTTTTGTACTGCCGGATTTCAAAGCGAGGATGGAGAAAAAATTAAATAAATAAAAGTGTCAGACTTGAAAAAAATAGTATGCTTGATTAAAAATTAAAAACAGGCTGATTAAAATTTAAATAAAATACTTAAAAAAAACTTTTTAAAAAACCACGTTTTTCTTGTGGACTAAAAAGTAGAAAATAACTATTTACATACATTTGATGACAAAAAACGTGGGTACGTTCACCATCAAATTTCCCGACCATTCTGCCCTTTAGAGCAATCAGAAGTGGGCTAATTTTCGATGTCAATTTTAACAACAAACAAACAAATCCACAAACGCGAAGCTGAGTTAAGAAAAACGTGTTAAAAAAAAAAGACTTGCTGTTTTAAATTACCTGATCTGGTTTGTTTTTTACTAAAGAATGTAGGGGAATGGTTTTTTTTTAACTACCGAAAGGTTTTGAAAAACAGATTTAAAATAATGGCATTTTATTTTGTAATTTAACAGTCACGATCTACTAAATAATGGAAGACATTTGTGTAAATTTTAAATAAAAAAAGTATTTATATTTCAACAACTGTAAATGATACATGGTTTATATTTTCCTCTTGTTTATACATATACATATGTATATATATATATATATATATATATATATATATATATATATATATATATATATATATATATATATATATATATAATAAATATATATATATATATATATATATAAAATAAATATATATATATATATATATATATATATATATATATATATATATATATATATATATATATATATATATATATATATATATATATATATATATTAATATATATATATATATATATATATATATATATATATATATATATATATATATATATATATATATATATATATATATTTATATATTTATATATATATATATATATATTTATATATATATATATATATGAATATATGCCACTTTCCACCTGTAAAATCATATGGTTCTTGTATGTTATTTCAGCTGATATTATCGAACCTGAAAGAAATGTCAACGTGCTATTGGACGAGCAGGAATCAACGTTACATTTCCTTGATGAGGAACAGGTGAGGGGTTAGCACGTAAACTTCATCATACCATCCCCATCATACCATCCCCATCTTACCATCGTCGGTCTACTATCTTGATCATAACATAATCATCATACCATCACCATCATATCATCCCCATCATACCATCCCCATCTTACCATCTCCATTCTATTATCTCGATCATAACATAATCATCACACCATCACCATCTTACCATTCTCATTACACCATCTCCATACTAACATCTCTAACATAACAAAATATCAAACCATCCCCATTCTACCATCTCTATTCTACCATCTGGATCAAAAAATTATCATTATACCATGCCCATCGTACCATCTAAATCACAACATAATATTATGCCATGCCTAAAACAACCATTTTCATTTCTACTGTCCCCATTCCACTATCTTGGTGATGACATAATTTTTATACAAATCCTATCATACCATCCCCATCATACCATCCCCATCATACCATCCCCATCATACCATCACCATCATACCATCACCATCATACCATCATCATCATACCATCACCATCATACCATGCCATCATACCATCCCCATCATACCATCCCCATCATACCATGCCCATCATACATCCCAAGCGTTCCATCCACATCATACCATCCCCATCTTACCATCCCCATCATACCATCCCCATCATACCATCCCCATCATACCGAACCCATCATACCATACCCATCATACTATCACCATCATACCATCACCATCATACCATCATCATCATACCATCACCATCATACCATGCCATCATACCATCCACATCATACCATCCCCATCATACCATCCCCATAATACCATCCTCATGATACTATACCCATCATACCATCACCATCATACCATCACCATAATACCATCACCATCATACCATCCTCATGATACTATACCCATCATACCATCACCATCATACCATCACCATAATACCATCCCCATCATACCATCACCATCATACCATCCCCATCATACCATCACCATCATACCATCACCATCATACCATCACCATCATACCATCACCATCATACCATCACCATCATACAATCACCATCATACCATCACCATCATACCATCCCCATCATACCATCCCCATCATGTCATCCCCATCATACCATCCCCATCATACCATCACCATCATACCATCCCCATCTTACCATCCCCATCATACCATCCCCATTATACCATCACCATCATACCATCCCCATCATACCATCCCCATCATACCGAACCCATCATACCATCTCCATCGTACCATCTCTATAATAACATAAAACCCAAACAATACCAGTCAATATAATTTCCTCAACAACACACCGTGCCTATCACAGCAAACCTATCAGTGATATCCGCATCAACCACCAACACTACCATCGCCATCAACCAACTTTACTACCATCTTCATCAACAAATAGAACTACCATCTTCGTTAATCAACTACCATCTCCATCAACCAAGGTCACTACCATCACCAAACTAAAACTACACACACACAGAGAGACAGAGACACCTTACTGCCACCTTTAAGCAAAAATATATAGACTCTACCCAACCCCATCTACCTCTCCACCCTTCCAGCTATAACAACCATCCCACTCCCCTCACACCCTCACCTCCCCCCCCCCCCCCCCCCACCCCACCCATCAAACAACCAACCTCCATTGTCTGACATTTTTACTGCCCGGTCGCCTGGCTTTATATTCATTACTCCTTGTCTGGCTTTATTCCATTTCCGATTCTTAATTTAATTATATTGATTAGCCCGCGCCTACGTACGTCACTGTACCTACCTCGTCACGTGACCAGACACTGATCACGTGGGCTGGCTTTTGTTTAAGCTCTTTGTTCAAATTAAGCTGACAGGTGGTAACAGCAGTGAGCTAGTCGGCCAATGAGCTTAGTTTGGTTTAAGCTCTTTACTTAAATTTCAAACAGGGGTGGGCTAAAGGGACATCGAGCTTAATTTGTTTTAGCTCTGTATTCAAATTTCAAATGGTGGGTTAGTTGAACAGAGAGCTTAGTTTGGTTTAAGCTCATTATTCAAATTTAAAATAATGGTGAGCTAATGTTTAGTTCAAACTCTTCGTTCTTTTGAATCTGTTATAAATAGTATGAGCTAGTGGGACAGCGAGCTCAGTTTGCTTTAAGCTGTTTATTCCCATTTCAAAAAGCAGTTGATTAGTAAGACAAAGAACTTGCTTTGGTTTAAGCTCTTTGTTTAATTTTTTTTAAGTTCTTATCTAATTGAGCAAAGAGCTTAAATAACTTTAAGCTCTTTATTTCCAAATTATTTTCCTCTCATTAAATTCCTTTAAGTCCGTCGTCATGCTGTAGGATTGATAAGATCCGTGAGTTAAGCTCTTCTGACTGATCGAGTGATTGATTATACTTCAGATTATCTGCACGTTTATTATTGATTATATTAATCTTTAAATTAATTTTTTATGACTAATTAAATATCAAGTAAGACTTAAAATTATATACGCGTGCGTTGTCATCGGAAACTATTTTATCTGGAAAAAGAAACAAACATTACAAACCTGTCAAAATTTAGTTAGGAGATTTGGTCTTGAACCCTTCCATACACCCATTCACCGACCTTGCAACAATAGATTATATTTAACCCTTGCCTGGCCAACTAACAATAAAAGAAAGCTCTATTAACCCTTGCCTGACCAACCCAACAATAACATAACCCTATTAACCCTTGCCTGACCAATCCAAACAAAAACATAAAGCTCTATTAACCCTTGCCTGACCAACCCAACAAAAACATAGCTCTATTAACCCTTGCCTGACCAATCCAAACAAAAACATAAAGCTCTATTAACCCTTGCCTGACCAATCCAAACAAAAACATAAATCTCTATTAACCCTTGCCTGACCAACCAACAAAAAATAAAGCTATATTAACTCTTGCCTGGCCAACTAATAATGACATAAAGTTCTATTAGCCCTTGCTTGACCAAGACAACAAAATCATAAAGCTCTATTAACCCTTTCCTGGCGAACCCAATAATAAATAAAATAACCAATAATAAAATAAAGCTCTATTAACCCTTGCCTGACCAACCAAAAACATAAAGCTCTATTAACCCTTGTCTGTCCACAGCACCCCGACTTTGAAGCCGAAGACCTACCCATAGACGCCTACGTCGTGGTTTTCTCCGTGTCCGACACGACGTCATACAACTACGCGCTGAAGAGCATCAGGACACTGCGGGAGGTCCACAGGACCACCAAGGCCATCATCCTGGTGGGCAACAAGATAGACCTGGCCCGTCAGAGGCGGGTGGCCAAACATGGTGAGTCGTCTGTGTGGGTTGTGTGGGGGTGTGGTGGGCGGAAGTAGGTTGTGGGGTGTGTGGCCATGTGGGCCAAGTGAGCTATGTGGCCAAGTTGGCTAAGTGGCCAAGTGAGCTATGTGGCCAAGTTGGCTAAGTGGCCAAGTGAGCTATGTGGCCAAGTTGGCTAAGTGGCCAAGTGAGCTATGTGGCCAAGTTGGCTAAGTGGCCAAGTGAGCTATGTGGCCAAGTTGGCTAAGTGGCCAAGTGAGCTATGTGGCCAAGTTGGCTAAGTGGCCAAGTGAGCTATGTGGCCAAGTTGGCTAAGTGGCCAAGTGAGCTATGTGGCCAAGTTGGCTAAGTGGCCAAGTGAGTATGTGGCCAAGTTGGCTAAGTGGCCAAGTGAGCTATGTGGCCAAGTTGGCTAAGTGGCCAAGTGAGCTATGTGGCCAAGTTGGCTAAGTGGCCAAGTGAGCTATGTGGCCAAGTTGGCTAAGTGGCCAAGTGAGCTATGTGGCCAAGTTGGCTAAGTGGCCAAGTGAGCTATGTGGCCAAGTTGGCTAAGTGGCCAATTGAGCTATGTGGCCAAGTTGGCTAAGTGGCCAAGTGAGCTATGTGGCCAAGTTGGCTAAGTGGCCAAGTGAGCTATGTGGCCAAGTTGGCTAAGTGGCCAAGTGAGCTATGTGGCCAAGTTGGCTAAGTGGCCAAGTGAGCTATGTGGCCAAGTTGGCTAAGTGGCCAAGTGAGCTATGTGGCCAAGTTGGCTAAGTGACCAAGTGAACTATGTGGCCAAATTGGGCTAAGTTACCAAGTGAACTATGTGGCCAAGTTGGCTAAGTGGCCAAGTGAGCTATGTGGACAATTGGGCTAAGTGGCCAAGTGGACTAAATGGCCAAGTGGGCTTTGTGGCCAAATGGGGTAAATGGCTCAGTAGGCTCTGTGGTCAAGTAGGCTAAGTTGCCAAGATACAAAAACGTATTTCGTTTTATGGTCAAATAGACACAAGTATGGGTTAAATACAATAATTGAAAATGCCAGGTTAAAGACTTCAAAAAGAAACTGGTACTCCGGATTTCGTAACTAATACAGTGTAGCCAAGGGTGGCCCTCTTGATCAGGCATGAACCACGTTACAAATCACACACGCACTGAAGT